CACATTCTGCTTTCAAAATGCAGGGACAAAGTAATTGCCCCCCCCCCCCCGCGCCCAAGCCAATCGATCTCCTTGAATTGATTCAATGATATGTCTAGCAACTCTGTCGATTCATTACGACGCTAAAGTCTTTCACTACAAACTTAGCCGAAGAATGACAACTAGGGCTGGGGGACGCGTCACACTTCGTTGTGGCTACCAAAAGGTTCGCTGAGTGTGGGACTCATTAACAAAAAAAAAAAGCATTGGCGCTGTACAGAGAACTAAGGGGAAAAAATGTGATTAAATACACCTGTGTGATTGCGTGCTTCTCAAAACCTTTGAACAAATTGTCCAGTAACTTTACAGGGGAGATATTTGAGTTTTAGTGTGTATGTTTGGGTAAAAATATTTTTTTTATTAGACTTGAGGATGACACAGTCGCGTGCTTATTTCTCTGGTTCACAGAATGCTGCAGAGCTAACCATTTGATACAAATCTTGGTCTAACAAAAAAAGTGTGTGAGTGTGTGTGTGTGTGAGGGGGGAGGGTCAGCAAAAGTAGGCTACGTGAGTCTCACTATATCGATAATGTGTTCTAACTATGTCAGGTGATCAGACGTCGTTTAAGAGCAGACAACCTGTAACTACTCCATTTCGCAAAATTAATCAAGAAAGTTTTGAATTAAATTTAGCTGATAAACTCGCCTCATTATTTCTAGTGCCGGATAAAATAACGGAAAAAAAAATGTTTGGATGCTTGTCATGGATTTGCAAAATAAAAATTATTTTAAAAAGTATACATATATTTTGTTCAAATTAACCAATTCGCATGTGGAACACTTGATTGTGTATTTTTGTGATGATTTGTTCGTCTCCCCTTTATACCGAACAGATTCTCGAGGCGTTGTTGACGCCAATAACTGCTAGTAGCCACATAGCTTTGATTTAAATGAGTACATGCTGAATGACTATTAAAATTCAAATTGTGTACTTCAAAATTAAAAAAAAAAATTCTCAGCTCTAAGCCGTCTGTGACAATCAATATTTCAACAAAACGTGTGTTCATGTGTGACCCCTCTAAAGGTGGACCCGTGTCAAAGGAACGCCAGGCTGACTGTTCTCCGCCCCCCACCCCCCTCCCCCCACCACCAGCTCTCCCCACCACCAGCTCTCCCGGATCGTTAAAGATACAGCCAGGAACAATAACCCAGAGACGGTATTGTTTAAAAAAAGTCAGTCACTAGGAGCCGAGGAAACGGCACGGGCTATTCCCCCTTACCATTGGCTTCAATGACAGCACGACCCTTACAAGCCGTCAAAGCCGTGGTCACGTGACTTACAGGAGCTGACGTAAGGTTATGGTGACCGTTCAAAGTAAACAACCCCGCTAAATCAGTGCTTCTCAAACTGTTCATGTTGGCGACACAATTTTTTATACAAACATCGTGACACAGCAAGTATTTCAGGAGTCCGTAAGTCAGGGAGTCAGTGAGTCAGTAAGTCATCGAGTCAATAAGTCAATGAGTCAGTAGGTCAATAGATCAGTGAGTCAGGGAGCCAGTAAGTCAATGAGTCAGTCAGTAAGTCATTGAGTCAGTAAGTCAGTGAGTCAGTAAGTCAATAAGTCAGTAAGACCAGCACACAGGTGGAGCACATAAGAGCACAGTGAGACATAAGACACACTGTTAGTCATCCACTGCATCCTGGTCTATGGTCAGTCGTCTTGACCAAGTCTTGCCTTTGGAAAAAATGGGCTGACGAACTGAGCAGCTCTCCCTCACTTTTAAAACAAAATACATCTCAAATCAAGGCCACTACTCAAGTCGAAGCCTTGGTCATCTTCGCATGTGAAAGACGACTAAAATAATATACAACGGGTTAACCAAAAATAAAATGTTATTACCAGAGTTTCTTTCAGATAATATCTTGGTTGGGTGGGGGGGGGCTTTTTCGGGCGTACGAGGGGCGGATGAGAGAGCATCTATCAGCGCCATAGTTGTGCAAAATGTCCCCCCAGGACCAGCTCTGAGTCAGTCATACTTAAACATAAATTCCTTAAGCTGTGCCACCCCCCCCCCCAACCCCTGTGGGCTGTGGGTAAGCTGTTGGCTCTAGTTTGGTTTTGCCCCTGCACTGTAATCATTCTGTTATCTTACCATCACATTTCCCGACCAACAATCTATGTACCATTACCTCCCCCAACTATCTATGTACCATTACCTCCCCCAACTATCTATGTACCATTACCTCCCCCAACTATCTATGTACCATTATCTCCCCCAACTATCTATGTACCATTACCTCCCCCAACTATCTATGAGCCATCACTTCCCTTAACTATCTATGTACCATTACAACCCCCAAATTAGGTATATACCGATACCCCACAAACTATATAATTACCATTACCCCCAACTATGCATAATATTCCATTACCCACAGCTATGTACCTACCATTACCCTCGACTATGTATTATATCCCATTACCCGAACTATTTAAATACCATTACCCCCACCCCCAACTATGTATATACCAAACTAAGGGGCATTCCATAAAGTACGTCACGCTCCAAAGTGGGGGGAGGGGTGCGTAAGAAAGTGTGACAGTTTGTGACAGAGGGGAATCAGGCCAAGTGTGACGTTACACATTAATTTTTAAAAATTTTATTTCTAATTTATTTTTAATTTTGTTAATAGCATTTAATAGCTTTAAAAATAATTTTCCATAATTTTGTGAAACATTTGAATGAGTTTTATGTCGAAATAGCATGAAATGCGTATCTCCTGAATGTGTTGTTCACGATTCCTCTCGCTAGGAGCGCTAGTAAGCTGTTGCGAAGCCTTGTTTTATGTATAGCCTTGCCGAGATCAACAGGAGTTTTCAAAGTACAACTGATCTGTATTGTCCATCTTTGCAGACCAGCTTACTTGATCGAATTTGCAAAGTATGTCACTTATACTTTGCCTCACAATCAATGTCGAAGAAACATGCAGGACAAGTCAGAGCTCGGGCTCGGGAGAATGTGCCAACCCAAACTGTTCCAGGATCAACTCAGATAAAACGCATCAGTCCTTTGAGAATCACTGCTAGAAGGCAAAGAGAACTCATGGCAGTTATTGCCAGAAGAGAAGATGCACATTCAGAGGATGTTGAGTGGCTAGATGAGGAGGAAGTTGATCTGTCTGCAATTATCCTTCCTGGAAACGATGATGCTGAAAGATTGATGCCAGTCGCAACGTAACTATGGATGAACACTTCACTTTACCATGGATGGATGATGTCCAGTGAATATTTTTGAATTAAACATAATTCACAGGCCCATAATAAACAGATTCAATATAGCACAAGAGTTTGTCACATAATTTGTCAATGTAGTCTTTTTTTAGTCAAATTGTTTTGTTTCCTTTTTATTATTCAATCACTGGGTGAGGTCAAGTTTCGCTAACCTACTTCTTATCCTGAGTATAAAGATTGCTAATCGAAAAGTATCTAAAACTTGACCTCACCTTTTGTAAATGAAAAAGCTGGAGATAAATTATATGTATAGCCTTGCCGAGATCAACAGGAGTTTTCAAAGTACAACTGATCTTTATTGTCCATCTTTGCAGACCAGCTTACTTGTCTAGTCTCATTTTTGCAATTTTTGTTTTCAAATTCAATCTAGATTGAGTTACTGCTTCAATGAATAACTGTGACAACTGTTGACAATTAACTATTCTACTATTGAAGTAATTTTAATGTGATAGTTCTTTTAAGTGAAAATTTTATATTTTAATACAGTTTAATAGTGAAGTGTGTTTTAGATTAAATTTTAATTAGGTGCTAATTTTAAAAAAAAATTGTTCGAAAGTGTGACGTACTTGGGGGGGGGGGTTTCCGAGATTT